TATTAAGAAAAATCACATCAAGTAAACATAATTGATATTGTATACTTTTATAACTCACTTATAATATATACCACCACAACTATAATATACATATTTTTAAAATAAACATCTATGCATAATGCAAAACGACACGTTCAAAAAATAAATAGATAAATCTCTTTTTTTCAACAATTAAATTCAACTTCTTGGCATTTGTATATATAACTTTTTTTAAATTCCCAATTAAAGGAATCAAGAACAATCTATAATCATTTATATGTATATACAAATCAGTACACTTTCTCAACGTGAAAGATGTTTTAAGGATAAGACGAATCATAATCTAATTTTTAAAGCTCTCTAAACAAGTCCAAGATTTCTTTGGTACGAATGTAATTATTATTTCATTATTTTGTCCTCTTTTCTTACTATAAATGAATTTTATATTTTAAAAATGCGTTATTGATTGATAATAAACGTTAAATATCCTCATTATCACTGAGTGAACTCATAATGAAACGACGATTCAAGAGATCTTCCTCCGTACTATCGCTCGGACATAACGAGTTCTCCGTGTATGATAAATTATTGGTCAGTGGTCCGGAACCGAATCTGTTGACCACGAGGCCAATCGCGGTCTGTCCGATAATCGGTATGCCACCTGTACCTAATATACGTGCCGGCAAAATGTTTTTCGTTATTGGATATTTTAAGCTATGCTCGGTACACCTCAGATTGTTATATTTAAGCATATGCGGGGATTGTGAGAGTCGCAATGGATCCTCAGAATAGCATTGAGGAAACTTTTGCAGATCGGTATAACCGTTCTTCTCGCTTATCTTGTAACGCAAAGGATCCTCGGAGTATCTCTGAGGATATTTCTGTAGATCGATTCCGTATTTTTGATCCCCTATACACTGGTCATATATAAGATTATTATCCGAGCATCTATGATATTCCTCTCTACATCTATGAGGATATTTGTGCAGACCTTCCTCGCATCTACATGGATATTTCTGAAAATCTGGATTCAATCGATCTACTTCGGTGTATTTAATATGTTTTACAGAATCCTGAGAGCAATGCTGCACTGGATACGGCGGCACATAGGTATCATTTATATACTGGCGCGGATATTTTGGTAGGTCTTCGGGACAACGCGTAGGGTGTCTCAAGAGGGTCAACTCACCGTTTATCGACTCTATTCTTGGAGAATGTTGACCGCTGATCAAGTTGTTCATCGAGCCCGTGAGATCCGTACTGGGACTCGTTTGAACTGTCGTACCGTTCGACTGTTAAAAAAAAATATTGGAAAACATTTACTGTTGTACGTTATTTTCACTGAATAATATTTGTATTTAATCGCGTTAGCAAAGTAATAAACAAATAATTAATATTAATAAATAATAAACTATTAAATAATTTATAATTACCTGAGGCTGCACAATTTTGGCAGTACCATATGTCTTATTATTAGTAATCACATTATCATCAGTAACTCGTTCATGCTCGGCGCGATATTCAGGTGTAACAATTCCCCTTCGATCTGAAAAAAACATGACCCAAGAATTCAATATAATACACAATTAAAGGATGATGTCATAGCCCCCTTGACTCTATGACTTGCACATTAGCATAAATTAATGTTACGTAACTTATGCAAGAGAGATCTTACCAATTAAACTAGGTGGAGCTGGTCCACATAAGACGTAAAAAAAATTCCCGCAAATGTTTCCTTGACTGTAAGGATTAAAATTATCTTGTCCTCTTTTATTTGTGAAAGATCCTTTGATCTACAACAGTAATAGCGATTAAAAGAAGTTTTCGACCATAATTCATTTATGATTTTGTCAAGTACTTACATCTTCGTTAGTCGTTTGATTACTGCTAGTTAAATATGTATGGAAACCAGCAAGGCCCAAGATACTCCAAACAGAAAAAAAACAAACGACTCCCACAATAACGCTACTCGGGGATAATTTTACAGCGTCTAAAAACGGCTTATCATCTTTTGTAACTAAAGTCAGAATAAATAGTAAGCAGGCATGAAATACCAATTTTGTCCTGATACATTCATTCATTTAATGATCCAGAGGTCAAGATACTTACGCATAATTAGATGTGTGACTGCACATACGAATATAAAAACACAAAGAAATGCCAAAGATACTATAAAAGCATAAAAATATCTATAATTTCTTCTGCCCACGCAATTGCCAACCCATGGACAGTGATGATCAAATCTCTCTGTAAGAATATCTGTCTTTAAAATTTTGTCTAATATCTGTGATTAAATAAGCATCGTACTCGAGATTAATCTTGGTATGCGATCGATAATTTAGAAAGGAAAATAAGTCTTCAGATATCTAATTTTGATAAAAGAACGGATGTACGTACCTACACAATTGTCACATAGGCTACAATGAGAGGCTCTTGGTGGCCTGAATATTTTGCATGTAAAGCAATATTTTAATTTTACTGGTTGTCCTCTAATCAAGACTTCTTTCGTTCTAGGAGGAGGTCTGTATGTTTTCGAGTTACCATTGTTCGGTACTTCTAGAATTCAATGAAAAATATTTCGATTCAGCATTCGAGAAAAAATTTTTTATAGGAAACATATTTACGTATTATCTTTTAATTTGAATATTATCGATTAAATAAAACGTAATCGCTATGAATACTCTATGATCATATTTATACCGATTTGCTTTTCGATATAAGCTGCTTCGTCGGGTGTTGCTCTTGGAATTACTCCAGGATCGCTGAAGCTTGTGCGGAACAGAGCAGACATTACAAATATAAATAATAGAGCTCCTATCACTGGTATTGCTGGTGTTACATGTAGTGCCAGATATGGACAACTGGAAAAAAAAAGTGAGAACTGTTGTCTAAAAACTCTATTTTGTCACGTACAAAAGCACGCCAATTTTCCCCTTTTCATGTATAATTCAATTCATAGCTTAATCATATACTTAAAATCGTCTCGAGTCCCAGCTTGAGATTCTGTAATCATTCCATCCTCACTGAACAGAATCTTGAGATTATTTATCAGATTATTTAGAACCAAATCTAAGACAATCTTAAGTACAAGATTGGCATTTGAATAGGTTTCTAAGGTTGATATTCATAGTTCGTTCTTATATTTAAGATAAGTCTTAATAAATATTACATAAACTTATATAACTAATCTTATTGGTTGAAATGTAATTTTCAGACGATTTTAAATATAAGAGCCGATTATGAATGCCGCTTTAAATGTGGTATTCGTAATCAGTTCTTGAGACCAGCAAAGATTTGACTTGAGGCAATCTTAGATATAAGAATTGTCTCTGAATACTGCCTAAATTTCACAAAATATCTTTTCAATGTACTTTCGATTAAAATATATATGTTTTATTATTAAGATATATGTTTATTATTAAGATATATATGTTATTCGATTAAGATATATATGTATAAAATGTATATAACCATTACTTAAATTTTATCGAGGTATATCCTTGACATCAAACGAAATGCAATATCATTGTATTTAATGCTATTCAGAATCGAAGAATAGCCTACTTGTTGACAACGAGGCATGCAGTGTGCTAATAGATTAAGGACAGTATTCATAGCCCAATCTTGTACTTAAGATCATCTTTAGTACAATTTCAAAACACTGTACAGTCATTTAATTGGATGGAATCGTAGAACCACCGAAGAATCTAAAATGATTTAAATATGAAATTAGATTGTAAATATAACCTCAAGTTGTTGTAATAAATCTACAAAGATTTATTTTTGCACTGATATATGGTTTACTCAAAACTAAAGAACCTGTTCTAACAACAAAGCATGCAATATGCTAATAGAGCAGTATTCATAATTCAACCTTGAAATTATCTTGAGCAAAATTTTAAGACAATGTCTATAGATTTCATTAGATGGCATCATAAATCAATTCAAGGATTTATAATAATCTGAATATTTATAAGATTAGACTATAAATATCATTTCAAAACAAATCTATCAAGATTTAAGAAAATCATGATCACAGTATGACAATTAAGTATCATTTTATCCACACTGCGTTGAAGGTGCAAATACGAGCTGAAACGTTTGCTTGATTTTTGTATCTTTATTAAATTTTGGATTGTTATGTATCATTAATTACCTAATGATTTGTCACAAATATGTTAAAGAATTATTGACTTCAAATTCTGTGTACTAATTACCGCATTGACTCTCCCTAGTCTTTTACTTCATACGTGTTATTTATACTTATTTCGAGAATCCTCTGCTACTTTCAATTTAAAATTTAGGAAGCTCTTCAGCAAAAGACACAAATCAACACAGGAGTTTTTATATTTGTCTCTCACCAAATACTGAAGAAAAACAGAGTAACTCCTGTGTCGATTTGTCTCTCTTGCTGGAAAACTCTCTCATTTGTGCAACAAAACCAATGCTTACTCGAAACCAAAAAATAGTCCGCTTGTCCCGACGATGAGGCACACGGTGACGTAGAATACTCCAGTCTGTGGTGCCATCATCACTCTACCGTCGCAACAAAAGCGATTCCTGCCCGGGAACAATTCCCACTTTCGCGTGACGTGAGGCATCTTGCTCGAGATTGAGGCTTCTCTCATGTACTGTCATATATGAACGTACGGATCCTGGCGAGAGGCTGCTGGCGATTTATCACAATGGTATAATCGTGTCCCTTCGACGTTTCCGCACGTGGATTCGGACAGTCATGTCTCATCTCGGCCGCGTCGTCTGGTCCTCGAGTGAGAATGCGGAAGCTGCCAGAGCCGACGGCGACAGCATCCATGTATTATTCACCACTTCCCAATATCACCCGTCTCACTCGATGTGCCCGTCGTAAAATCGCCTGTTGATCGTACTCTACCCACGATTGGTCGACGATCGAAGGTAAACTCGCGTCCGTCGACTTAACCTAATTTTTCTCAGCCACTGTATTTTTTTTCTTAAAATCGAGGAGTCCACGGCATCTTCGACAAAAAAAAAAACTAAAGCGCGAGAATGCGGACTCGTTCTAGCCTAAGAAAATTCGCTACGCGCGACGATGTCGTCGTCATTGTCGTCGTTCTCGTCGTCATTCGTCACCGAAAGCCACTGAACTCGGACGGAACGGCGATTCGACGAGGAAGGGTCGTGGCCGCGCGATCAGAAGGGCCACGATCGTTGGTCGAAATTGGGTCAGCGAGGCCACTCACGGGGGTCGTACGGGAACACTGTCCAGCCGTGACGAAGCCCGCGAGGTGCGCCACGTTTACCGTTCACCAAGAACCGGCGGCGCATCCCCCTTCAAATCGCCACTGTCATCGTCCCCGTCACGATTAGTCTCCGGCGGGCGACGATAACGCGCGTCATTTACTGGAAACACGGACCCGTCGCGAAGTGAACGACGCGCGACAACGAGACGACGTGCTCGCTCGCTCGCACTTGCGAAAACGCTCGCGCAGCGACCCCGCGCGCGGCTCACGCGAAACCGCCACGTGACTCGGCCAACCACGTGATCCGAGGGCGGCCCGAGCGATCGCGATTCAAACGTTCGTCCGTTTCGCGCGCGGGTCGATCATCGATCATCGGAATTCCCGTCCTCTCGACCCTCTCGACCGTCGCCGAGCCGTCCTGAGCCCGGCCGTTCCTTCCTCACGCGGTCTTCTAATCTAATCTCGGATCCGCGTCGAGGTCGGAGATCAAAAACGATCGAAGAGAGTCTCCGCCGACTCTCGATTTGGAAGACGCGGTGCGAAAAAAAGCGAGGAGGCGTCGACGAAACGCAGAGAGACACAGCATGCCCTAACCGCTTTCCCGTGGCGATGGCAGGTAAAAAAAGGCATTTTTTCGAGAGCTTTTTTTCCCTCGATCAGCGGGCGCCGCGCGAGATTGATTATTTAAACGGTGGGGAGGGTGGCGAACGCGACTTATCGCCCCCGTTGCAAAATGGGTCGTCGACGCAATGCGGCACGTCGCCGCGCACCGCACACCCACACCCACACCCACACCCACACCCACATCCGTACGCACGTGTATGTACGTACGTGACCGAGGAAATCCTGAAAATCGAACAATCCCACCACCGACGCCATCTCCGGGCGCAAGCGACGCTCTGCGCGAAATTTTCACGAGGTGGATGAGACAAAGCCCGCCGAGGCGATCTATAGATCTTCCGGCGCATCGTCGTTGCCCTCGCCACCCTGCGAGTTAATTACATGTACGTAGCGATTCCGTTTCACGTTTTAGACACGTCGCGAGAGAGAGCTATTATTAATCATCCGCTATATATATATCCGCGAAATATTTGTCATTCTCTAATTAATGGATCCAGCATTATCGTCTGCCGAAAGAACGCAGAAACGCGAGATAGATTAGATATATTTTCCTCGGTCTCGCAATTTTGATTTTCGTCATGCAATTATTTTAAACTTACGCATCAGCCGCGCGCGATTTCAAAAGGCTGCGATTTTGCGATCGGCGATCGAAAAGGCGAGAGGGACGCGGCAAACGAATTTATACGAAGTTTATACGAAATCTCGTGGAGATGCCGCGTCTAAAGCAAACTCTACGAGCGTGGGGGAGCAGGAGGGGGACAGGGGGAGGACAGGGAGAGACGCGATCTGGACGGGGTAGATCATCGAGCGGCAGGTAATCGATACGTCGCAACAAATCGGAGTGACGTAATACACGCTCGCCCGGGGGCTGGGGTACCCTGCGTGCACATAGAAGGGAAGGTCTTGCGGCGAAAGATAACGCCACGCAAGATGCAGCGAGATATCAACAGGCAAGAAAAAAGAAAAGTCGGCGGACATGGTCCATCAGCCTCCCTTTCGATTCGCGGACGAATCTTTCGAGCCGCGTTATATCTACGATCGAAGATACAGCCGAAGCGACGGCGGCGGCGACGACGACGACGATGGCGGCGAGGGTCGCTCCGACGAGGGGATAGGGTCGTTGGAAGGGTACCACGACGGTGTGAGGACGCGACGATAGGGAAGGGAGGGCTCGAACGAGCAAAGCACGCGAGGGTGGAGGGGCGGAGGGGATCCGTCGGGAGGGTGTATGAATCGTCGTGGAGCGAGCGGCGGGTGCGGATGGACAGACGGACGCAAACGCTGAAATCAGCTCGGGCGATCGATGCGATAAATGGATGCGTGCGATTGGTAGCCGGGAAAATCGATGATGAACACAGGGGGGCATACCCTACCTCTCTCTCTCTCT